AGGTGTGAACGCCTTTGGGCGAGAAATTCACATGCCAATGTTGAGCCAACGAGGTAAGGGGTAACAACTATTCACTTCCCTTACAATTTTATAAAGAATATATTACTCTTAAGTTAGAATTTGGCACCCAGATTGTTTCGGAACTTTCCAGATTGCCATCATCACTTAGAATTGGATAAATTATACTNGTCAAAGACCATCATTACATCAACAATCTGAACAGTGTGCTGCTCCATCTGCACAGCCAAGCTAGTTGCAACATCACTTTTATGGGCGCCCAAAAAATCCTCTAGATGGGTTACACGTTCTTATAATTCAACAACATTCCCACCAATCATGATCGACAACCTGACTCTGATACCAATTGTCACAGGGTCAATTTTCACTCAAATTTTGCCTCATGATTGCACTAAGTTTGACACTCAATCTCAATCAATGCACTCAAACGCTCACAGAAATGTACACACAAAATAGAATATGGACCAACAAGCAAACTCACAAACACACAAGCTTTACAAGCCAATTGGCCAAACCTTTTCTTTCTCAGCAAAGCCTAAAGAAAACTCAGTCAATGGTCTACTTACAAAATGTGCTCAACTCTCTTGGTTGCACTACAGACCAGACATGCCTATATATAGCATACAAAGTGGTAGTTACAAGCCCAACCGCCTAGATAACTACAAAGCAACTTCAGATTCACCCACAAGCATGCTAACCATGGATGAGACCTTCAGCCACTCTCCCTAATGTGTTGGTTATGACAGAAGCAGCTGTTTGCTGACTCAGCCAACAACTGCTGATAACTTATTTGCATGTTGTGTGCACATGCACATAACCACGCTGCATGTTGTGCACATGCTAGTTACTCTGCATGCCATACAGATGCAGCAACCGTCTGGAACTGCCACCATCATCAGTGCACATGCCCTAACATCCTCACATGTTGTGCATGTGCCTTTTCTTGCGAGCCCACATCACTTGAATTAGCCTTGCCTTCGTGTCAAGTCATGCCCAGCACTTGGCTTGGTCTTCTAAGCTAGCAATGTCTCACAAATTGAGCCACCTGACCAGCCTTGCTTGCTTGTGCCAATTTGCCCATACATGAGCTACCTTCTTCAGCTATGCATGGGGCTTCCGTCAACAACAAGTCCCTCCAATTATCGGCCTCACATTTCGGGTCTCGAACTTTGGAAATGTTTTGCCTCACCCATGGGAAGCATTTGTTGAGATCATGTCTTGTTTTGGTGTGTCAAGGCTTAGGGTATAAGAGTCTCTAGGGAGGCTGTCCTGGTACCCCTTCGTAGAGCACCCCTTATAATAGCATTAATGAGTAAAAACACAATGACAACAACGAATATCCTCTAAGCCGAGGAGTCATAATAACTTGAGTCAGGGGCATAGCTATTGTATGTCACTCGATCTTTTACCGAACCATTTTGTTACTTAACCAAGTAAACGTCTACGTTCTTAAGAAACTAACTTTGTACTAAGAGTTTACTTCATTAAGTATTACCCAATTTGGTTAAGGTGTGAACGCCTTTGGGCGAGAAATTCACATGCCAATGTTGAGCCAACGAGGTAAGGGGTAACAACTATTCACTTCCCTTACAATTTTATAAAGAATATATTACTCTTAAGTTAGAATTTGGCACCCAGATTGTTTCGGAACTTTCCAGATTGCCATCATCACTTAGAATTGGATAAATTATACTNACAGCCAAGCTAGTTGCAACATCACTTTTATGGGCGCCCAAAAAATCCTCTAGATGGGTTACACGTTCTTATAATTCAACAACATTCCCACCAATCATGATCGACAACCTGACTCTGATACCAATTGTCACAGGGTCAATTTTCACTCAAATTTTGCCTCATGATTGCACTAAGTTTGACACTCAATCTCAATCAATGCACTCAAACGCTCACAGAAATGTACACACAAAATAGAATATGGACCAACAAGCAAACTCACAAACACACAAGCTTTACAAGCCAATTGGCCAAACCTTTTCTTTCTCAGCAAAGCCTAAAGAAAACTCAGTCAATGGTCTACTTACAAAATGTGCTCAACTCTCTTGGTTGCACTACAGACCAGACATGCCTATATATAGCATACAAAGTGGCAGTTACAAGCCCAACCGCCTAGATAACTACAAAGCAACTTCAGATTCACCCACAAGCATGCTAACCATGGATGAGACCTTCAGCCACTCTCCCTAATGTGTTGGTTATGACAGAAGCAGCTGTTTGCTGACTCAGCCAACAACTGCTGATAACTTATTTGCATGTTGTGTGCACATGCACATAACCACGCTGCATGTTGTGCACATGCTAGTTACTCTGCATGCCATACAGATGCAGCAACCGTCTGGAACTGCCACCATCATCAGTGCACATGCCCTAACATCCTCACATGTTGTGCATGTGCCTTTTCTTGCGAGCCCACATCACTTGAATTAGCCTTGCCTTCGTGTCAAGTCATGCCCAGCACTTGGCTTGGTCTTCTAAGCTAGCAATGTCTCACAAATTGAGCCACCTGACCAGCCTTGCTTGCTTGTGCCAATTTGCCCATGCATGAGCTACCTTCTTCAGCTATGCATGGGGCTTCCGTCAACAACAAGTCCCTCCAATTATCGGCCTCACATTTCGGGTCTCGAACTTTGGAAATGTTTTGCCTCACCCATGGGAAGCATTTGTTGAGATCATGTCTTGTGTTTGGTGTGTCAAGGTTTAGGGTATAAGAGTCTCTAGGGAGGCTGTCCTGGTACCCCTTCGTAGAGCACCCCTTATAATAGCATTAATGAGTAAAAACATAATGACAACAACGAATATCCTCTAAGCCGAGGAGTCATAATAACTTGAGTCAGGGGCATAGTCATTGTATGTCACTCGATCTTTTACCGAACCATTTTGTTACTTAACCAAGTAAACGTCTACGTTCTTAAGAAACTAACTTTGTACTAAGAGTTTACTTCATTAAGTATTACCCAATTTGGTTAAGGTGTGAACGCCTTTGGGCGAGAAATTCACATGCCAATGTTGAGCCAACGAGGTAAGGGGTAACAACTATTCACTTCCCTTACAATTTTATAAAGAATATATTACTCTTAAGTTAGAATTTGGCACCCAGATTGTTTCGGAACTTTCCAGATTGCCATCATCACTTAGAATTGGATAAATTATACTCACGCCCCCTCACATTTTAAAAATAACACTGAACTCTCTTGACATTTAATACTTGTAACAACCATACCCCCTTTAACTAATGAACGTTAGAATTATTCACAGTTAAAATTGATGTTATCAACCATGATTCCTAAAATATCAAAAATACCCTTCAAATTAAGTTTAAGAATTCAAATAAATATTTTCTTATCTTATAAATTTACCCGACTTTTCATTTATTTTTTTTAATTTATATATTTTAATATATAAATTAAAATTTAAAATTTAAATGTTTAATTTTTTAATCTATTACATTAATAAGTTAATTTTAAAATTGTTTTTGTTTATTAAATAATATTGGAATTGTTAGTATAGTTTAAAAATTAATTATTTTTTAAAAAAACTTAATAATTATCTATCTAATTATACCAAATTAATTTTTTTATTTATTATTTATCTGATTACATAAATTCTTACTCCTACCACCCATCACCACCGGTCCACCACCTAAACCCACCCATCACCACTGATTCCACCACCATTGAACTGTTAGAGATGGATTTTACCAGGACATTTAGTTTTCTTGTGTTTCTATTAAGCATTCTCATCTCTTTGAAGAACCAAAATGTCGAAACCGAGAAGGGTTCACAAGCTGGGATTTTCGCTGCTCCATTATAATCTTGGCCGATGTTCTTGTCAACCAAGTTGGAGAAGAAGATCGAAGAAGCTGATGACAGCCATTGAACTTCCAAACCCATCCAAACCCACCAAAACTTCCAAATCCAACCAAACCCACTACCACCACAAGCAGAGAGAGAGAGAGAGAGAGGAAAGACTAAAACCACAACCTATTGAAACCACCCCTGCCTCCACTACCACTGAAACCACCACCTAGACCAAATCCATCATCAACCAACACCACTATATCGCAGAGGTTAGGGTTTCAAAATCCCCTTGTAACCACCACTTGCAAAATCCACTTGTAACCACCACTTGCAAAATCCACCCATTACCATCGGTTCCACCACCTAGGGGTATCGATCACAGAGAGATAAGAGAGAGAGAGATGGAGATCACAAATCCTAGGTAAAAATTTGTTTGTTGCGCTGCTGGGTGCTGCTGAAAATAGGTGGTGGTGATGGGTGGGTGGATTTTGAAACCTGACGACGGTGGGTGCTGGTGAAAATAGGCAGCGGTGATTGCGCTGCTGGGTGTTGGCGCCAGTTGTTAGAGGGGTCTGATACGTCTTGAGAGAGAGAGAGAGAGATGCAGGGGGCTTTGATTCATTGTGAGAGAGTGTGTGTGTGTGTGTGTGGGGAGGGGGTAAACTCTCAGGGAGGGGGTCTTGGATCTTAAGTCTTGGGTCTTGGGTCATAATGGGTAGTTAAGGTGAGGGTAAAATGGTTTTTTTGTTTGTGCCGTTAGCAACATTCGTTTTTGGGGTCTCAGTGTAATTTCAAAAACATGAAAGAGTGTCCGTGTAACAAAACCAAATATTAGGTGGTGTCAGTATAATTTAGTCCTTGGAATTTTATATAGAAAATATCTCTCTCCCAAAATTGGCCACGAGATTTTTCCGGAACTTTCCAGATCGTCATTACCCACTACTCGGAAATCCATAGAAACATCTGCTTTAAGATATTTTCTGAGTTTCTTTTACAGATGGACCCACACCAATAAATGCGATTCTCCACCGCCTTGCACTTCCATTGGTCATGCTTTGTGAGTAACCCCTCAAGAAAAAATCTAGCACCGCTATAGATTGATTGCTGTGTGGTTGTCTTCTTGAAAAATTTGCCTTTGATGCTGTGATTTCGTGTCTTGTTGTGGTGGAGATGGAGTCCAATAAGAGGTTGCCGTCTTATTATAGCATTCTTGGCATTTGTACGGACTCTTCTGGTGAAGATATTCGCCGTGCCTACAGAAAACTCGCTATGGTATGTTCAAATTATTGGGTTTTCGTTCTTGTGTTCTTTAATGGAAACTAATTGCATTTATTTTGGGTGGTCTTGTGAGCAAACTCTGGTTTTGTTTATGCATTGAATTAGTGACATTGTGGTGTGATTAGTTAATTTTTTTATTGCTCATTATGTGATTAGTTAATTGGGTGAATGAACAAATGCACACATTGACATTAGAGATAAAGTTTGAAACATAAATGTAATAGTTTTCGGTGCATGAATGCATTCACATAGGGCCATCCATGGATGACATGCTGCTTGATTTCAAATTGCGATATTGGTATTGGAAGTAGTACTTACGTGGGTTGCTTTCATTTTTGACTCAGCAATGGCATCCTGACAAATGGACAAGAACCCCTTCACTGCTAGGTGAAGCCAAGCTTAAATTCCAGCAAATACAAGAAGCTTATTCAGGTACTCTTGTCTTTTGGTTTCAAGACTGGTTGGATTGTTTTTCTTTCTTCTTTTCGGATGAATATCCCTGTGGTACTTATACTATTGGATTAGTTACGACATTAATTTACTGTTTTTTTCAAACAGTGTTATCAGATCATAAGAAGAGAACAATGTATGACGCAGGCTTGAATGAGCCTGATGAAGAAGAGGACGAGGTGAATAGACTTATGCCCATTTTATGTACAATTATTTGGTTCTTTTCTTGTGGTTTTTTGCTAGCAATTTATTCTCTCTTATTATTTCCATCAGGGCTTTGCTGATTTGTTTCCAGAGATGATGTCTCTTATTGCTGAAGCCAGGAGAGAGGTATGAGTAAGCTCTGTTTATTAACGTTATTACCGTTTATGGTGTGATTGTTGTGTGAAGATTATGTTTCTTTAAGTTGAACACTGCATAATTTGTGTCCCTCTCCATCTTGTTGGCACACAGTTAATAATGCAATTTGAATTTCTTTTTTCCAGAATGTCTGTAGTAGTCGTCATGTGGCTAGGCCAGAAATGCTGAATGGCTCTTGAAGTTGNAGGCTTGAATGAGCCTGATGAAGAAGAGGACGAGGTGAATAGACTTATGCCCATTTTATGTACAATTATTTGGTTCTTTTCTTGTGGTTTTTTGCTAGCAATTTATTCTCTCTTATTATTTCCATCAGGGCTTTGCTGATTTGTTTCCAGAGATGATGTCTCTTATTGCTGAAGCCAGGAGAGAGGTATGAGTAAGCTCTGTTTATTAACGTTATTACCGTTTATGGTGTGATTGTTGTGTGAAGATTATGTTTCTTTAAGTTGAACACTGCATAATTTGTGTCCCTCTCCATCTTGTTGGCACACAGTTAATAATGCAATTTGAATTTTTTTTTTCCAGAATGTCTGTAGTAGTCGTCATGTGGCTAGGCCAGAAATGCTGAATGGCTCTTGAAGTTTTTAGTAATTCATAAGTTCTAGTATGTGTAAAGTGACTTAAGAAGATGCGTATCTATTGCTGATTTTGTGCAATTGATGGCATCGTTTTTTTCAGTAAAAGATGGTCTTGGAGCTAGGAATTACTTTTTATCCTGTACCTATGGAACTCTAACATTGGAGGAATATGTATCTCTGGTTTGCCAAGTGGCATAAACTGGAGTTGAAGGTTCATGGCAAGGCTGTGGTCATTCTTGCATTGCATTGAAGAGAAAAAATTTAAAAGGATGGTGTATATTTATCAACGAGTTGATTTGAGATTATTATTAACCAAGCCAGTCACCAGTTAATGTTAAGTTCTTCGATTTTCCATGAACTATGATGGTTACCAGGTCAGCGGCACTTGAGCCTAGCTTAATAATGCAATGAATTAAAGCTTAGTTCACATATCCCACAAAGCAATTGCTTGCAAGCTCCTAACATAGCGAGTCCTCATTCAAGGTCGAGTAGCTTAGATTCGATGGACAACCCTACTTATAAAGGATATGAATGTCCTATAACATATACAACCAGAAAATATAGAAATGAAATTAACTACAGATTGGCAATAGATTCTCGTTCAGATTTTGCAAATATACATTCTTTTTCAGTACGACATATTACTATGTCATTTACCACAGTCTGCAAAACCAAAGGGACCATAATAATGCTACGACCGCTTGGAAATGAGGGCTCGGAGTGTGAGAATAATCATTGCTGAATTTATTTCTCATTGTTCATTCCTCAAATTTTATTATGGGTAGATTATTTGGCTGCTAAGCCATAGGCAGACCTGGAAATTGGAATAGTTACAGTCTTTGTAGTATTAATTAAAAATTGATTAAAGCATTATCACATTGGATATCAGATATGTAATATTTCTGTAGACGAGTCAAGCAAAACTATGGATTAGATGCAGAAACTTGGCTTCTACATGTGGGGGTCCTCCCCTTTGGTCTGGCTAAAGCATTTGTTAGGTTCTTAGTTTTGTACATTATCCTATTATTAACCCCAAAAGGATACAGTGCAGTTCTATACAGCAGCAGATATGCTTCCATGAGGCTACATTAGGGCTTGGTTAGACCAGTTTATGTGCTATTTGTTACTCATAGCAGTTTGAATCATTTTAGTCGTGGTTAGCTGTTAGCAATGCATTACTATGAATCTGTAATAAAAAGGCCGAAAAACGGCAGCAGTCAAAACAGGAATTTGATGAGCAAATTTGGACTGATTTTGAAGTCGTGTGTACATATTTAGCTGATGGAGAATGTTTCTCAGTTATGGAAACAAAGGTTTCCTAATGTGTTGTTCATGAATTTTTTAACCAGGATAAGAGCTACAGCATGAAGGAGCTGCAAACTATGTTTTGGGAGATGGCCAAAGGTTTTGAGTTTCCTGACTGGTCTAATTTTCATCAACAGCCTGTATATGACTCTCCTCCGTGGTTTTGCACATCAGTGAGACTTGATGACTCCAGAACCTCAAAGAGAGCACGATGGGATACACATACAGTGGCGGAGAGAAGTTCCCAATTCCACATGACTGGCCATGAGAGGTGTGGGACTTGTCATTTTAACAGATAGCTGGCAATACGTCGCAGCGTTAGAGGTTGGAGATGTATGACTAGTAATTGTAGAAGATAGGTGGGCTGTACCAAGTTGTTTCACGAGCAGTCCAAACAATAGTGAGTGTCGATAGCAACAAAGATGCTCNCCATGAACTATGATGGTTACCAGGTCAGCGGCACTTGAGCCTAGCTTAATAATGCAAGGATATTTCAAATGAATTCAAGCTTAGTTCACATATCCCACAAAGCAATTGCTTGCAAGCTCCTAACATAGCANGTGGGCTGTACCAAGTTGTTTCACGAGCAGTCCAAACAATAGTGAGTGTCGATAGCAACAAAGATGCTCATTTTTTGTTTCTTGGAATCCTCCTGTATATGGAAATATGCTCCTTTTGGCTTTTACGACATTTTAAGATCTAAATCGTAGCATCATTACAACTTTTTTATATAGTTTTCAGTGTTATTAGCCAAGGCATTATGTGGGCAACATTGTTGCAAACAGCTTTGCAGGAAGAAGAGGGTAATGCCGTGTTGGATTGTTCATGCAAGCAAAGCCCTCTGTCGTGGGTGTGGCTTGGCCAAGAGGACTTTATTACATACATTTAGCAGTGTTTCTCTGGGAAATGCAAATTTAGGAGACTTGGATATCAAGAGTTTTGAGTCCTAGAAACGATTTATTTGTATGCAAGGGTAAATTAAGGGAGAAGATGCGATGGTACATTATTTGATGCATTGCAAGCAACAAACTTGCAATTTTCCATTGATCAATTCTAATTTCGTGCCTAATGTTCTTGATGTGGTTACTGGGAATCCCTCTGGGTCACAATTTTGTACTGATTTGGCACCAATTGGAGGAACTGAAAGTGCCTATCATTTGTTGGTACAACATTGCTGCATTGAGTGGAGCTATGCTCTAGGTCTCTCGACTATAGAGAGTTGCAACTTATATTCCTTCCGATCTCATACTCANCAGTGTTGTTCTTCATCAGGTTTTGCACTTTTCTTCTGCTCCCTTCCTCTCCCAAACGCAAACACACCGTGGTTGTTCCCATTGCAAACCAACGGTACTCTGTTTCTTCATCAATAGGTACTCCATTCCTCTTTTAGGATAATATTTGTGTTCTTTTGGNGAGAGTTGCAACTTATATTCCTTCCGATCTCATACTCAACATAGTGACAGATTATAACAATTGATATAAATCATGGACTGAAATCACTCTTGAAAACCGGCTTACAAGAAAAGAGTGTCCAAGAGTTCATATAAGCACATCTAAGCTCATATTTGACCGTGGGATCATAACATGCATTGCTCCAAAATGAAAAGGATGTTCTCGTTTTCAAGTTTGGTATAGGTGGTCACGGAACAATAAAATGGGTAAATTCAGTATAAGCCTATACCGATCCATCTCCGACCCACTTTGAAATGAAGCTCCATGCTGCATCCGAAGCAGTTCTAGAGAATGTGTGGGCCAACTTCATAGCTCAAACTATGGTGGACCAGCAACTTAAAACTACACAAGAATTGTCCAAAGAACTACTCAAACCATTTACAATCCTCATAAACAACTGAGTTACTCAAATCTTTAACTTTCGAGCAGATTAAATGAGTGGTCTGGATTCGAGTGACAATTAAGGATTATAGAACATATGCAAGTTCTTTTTTATGATTCATTGGGGTTGTTGAGTAGATTGAACCGTAAGAAACAAACTAGGTTGGAAGATGCTCCAAGGGATGGGCGGTGGCCTTTTTACAAGTTTCTTCTCCTTCACTCATTGATGACTGCAGATTTCATATCCCAATCCCTTTGTCCCCTTTTCTCTCTATTGTTTCAAATTCAAAGTATACCCACCTTACCAAGCATACCCACCTTAGCATTTTCCTTTGTTTCTTTGTGACCATCTATTAATGAAAAAATTATTTATACTTAATTTGAAAATTTGATAAAATTATAATTATTTGATTGAAAATGAGTCTTATTGAATATTGGAACTAGACTACAATGAAATAAATCCCTGAATTATGGCTTCAATTAGGTCCTAGTAGCCTTGCTCTCAATTAATTGATGGGTAGATGAAAGTGCACATTGCCATCAGCAAAAGGACTTAAATACTTGCCAAACTAACCACATCATCTTTTTCTTCTTGGCTTTCTCTCCGGCAATAGGCACCTAGAATATAGACTGGACAGTAATGGACAATTTACGAGGGTCCAAGAACTACTAAACATGAACATTAGCGCATCTTGAAAATTGAAATCCTTGAATTGGGAAAATGTCAGAGGAGAAAGATAAAAGAATGGGAATTAGAAAAACATGGTGTATATATATATATCTATATAATAAAATAGGAGTGTGTTTGAATTTTATCTCAGTCATATTTTTTCCCTCAAAATTATCATCAATCACTTACCTCACCTACTATTTCTTTGTCAGACTCAAACGTCAAATCACATCACTCATTTCTATTACATATTTAATCATTTATATATTTCATCCCTAAAAATATCATACCACTCATTTCTATCATATATTTAAT